TTCCAAAGACAAGAATATGCTTTTCAAAGAAGGTGAAAAAGTCCTGGAAAGCGACTGCCTGATCAGCGGGTGATCTGTGACTTGAGGCAGCAGCAGCACAGGTGCATTAAAAATATCCAACTTTACCACCCCGCTGCAGAGCAGAAAATAATCAAGTCTGTTTTCTTTCCTGCAGGTAATTCATTTCATTTTAAGTGGCCGAACATGTCTCCTATCCCTGCGAGCCCTTGCAGGAAGAACACACTCATTCCCTTACCCCGTGAAGTCACCCCTCCAGCAAGCCCGGTTCCATCTCCCCTTGGGGCTTCTGCACAGAATGAAAAGCAGCCTTAATTCAACAAAGTTTCAAAAATAATTCCAGACAAGATTACTGTGACTTTGAAAAAGGAGAAGGGTTTATCTCAGGGGCTGATCCAGAGGAACTCATCCTCTTTAATTGCCCCATGGATCAACAAGGGAGGTGAGGTAGGCTTCACTCCTCGTGACTGGGAGAAGTCCTCCCTGAAAGGCCTGAAACCTGGTTAGAGGCAGCAGCTTTCTGCCTTAGATAACAATTCTTTAGACAAGATGCTGGAGGGCTGAAGCACCTCAGAGGGTTTGGACAGCATCGCTCACACTGTTGGTGGGGAAACAATCCCGTCGTTCAAGCAGACGTTTTGAAGTGCTCTCCAAAAGCAGCCCAGGAGAAGCAAGCTCCTGCTCTGCCCTTCCCCAGTGAGGTGTGAGCTGCTGGTGCAGCTCAACCACACCAGTGCCAGGCACTCCTGATGCCCCCAGGCACCCATGGCAGCCCAGCTCTCCCTGACTCCAAAATGATGGGTGGCCTTTGGAGTCGGCAGCACGTCAGCTTTATGAAGGCGACAAAACACCGTTGATTTAACATTGCAAGGGATCTCGAGCTGCACGGGGTGAACATGGGTTTCAAGAGGCAAAGTCCATCTCCACAGCGTGGCTTTGCCAGGGATACAAACTTTGTCCCTCTTGCACCATGCTGGTGATGGAGCTGCCTGCATGAGAACAGGTCCAAGTGGCTCAGGGAGAAAAGACAGCTTGCGTCCTTCGTGACGGCAACTTCAAACTAGCGCTTGATTTTTCAGGGCTTTGAGCCACCATAATATTTATAATCAAGTGGAAGGGACACCCAGCCAGAGAAAACAAGATGAATAAAACATCCTCTCAGCCTTCGCTCCAGGCGCTCCCTGTTCACATCATGCCATTACACACAGCGTGCCTCCTCTGTGCTCAGCCACTGACTCTGGGGGGATCCAGAGCCAACACAAGGGAAGGGTTTCTCTTTTTGTTGATGGAAGTGCTCCTGCTGCAAAGCAATTTCATGCATGAATTAAGATCTGCTTGCAACCGTCCTCCCCAAAGCAGGTGAGTTTTAGTGCAAGTCTGTTAGAGGAACTAGACAAGGAGCACAGCTCGGAAAGCAGAGGCCGTGGGGATAGAAAAGACACAAAACCTCCTCTACTCACACTAGACAACAAGATTAAATTCTTTGTCTCCATCTCATCTCTGACAAGGTAGTTTTAATCAAACGCATCCTAACCAAGGCACGCAGGAGGACTGTGCTCACTACAGATAATGAGAAGTAAGGCAGCACAGGCAGGCAGAGCTCATGCGCGATCCACAGGTGCCCAACCACCCCTGCAGCCCTCCCCTGCCCCCAGACTCCCATCCCCTTCCAAGCGTGTCCCAAAACACACAGCACCTGGGCACGCAGCCACCGACCGGGGCAGCATGACAGCCGATTCCAAGATAACATAGATTGGGGAGTGAAAGGACAGCTTTTAAGATCTCCCAGAGCCCCAAGAGATGTGCTTTATACTAAAAAAAATAAAAAAATAAAAAAGCCACGATGGATTTTCAATGCAAAATGCTTTTACGCTGTTCTGCCCTGGGAAGTAGTTACAGATCAGTAAATTTTCATCTCACATTCTACTGAAATTCTCTATCTTCCATTATTTTCTCCTCTTTGACAAAACCAGCAGCAATTCCTGGGAAACTGCCTCCTCCCTGCAGACCTAGTGAAACCTTGCTTCCCTCACAAGCGCTTACACACTGAGCCCAAACCGGCAAAAGGAGGGCTCTGGGGGTCTTCCATCTGAAGAAATACCACCCATATTGTCCCTAGGCATCTTCTTAGGCAATCTTTAACTTCTGTCTGATTTTGCTTAGACCTAACAGCCGGTCACGTTTTGGCCAACACACAGAAAATATCTGTAATAGTTGTACACTGGCCATTAAAAAAAAAAATAAAAATCACCATCTGCTGAAAAGTCAGTAATACCCACGGCCTTAAGGATTTACCTCCCCAAGTGCAACGAAGTGTTTTGTTCCCACCCACTTACGGAAGCACGGTAATCTTGCGGGGAAAGGGTAAACGTTTCCAGAAGAGGAGCAAAGTCAAACAGAGCTCGGGGCTGCACGGCTCACACAAGCGGGCTGACCCGCTCGGTTAAACGACGCTGCCAGGCACAGCGCTGACGGATGCCTGCATCGTCTCTCGCCTGGATTGAAACAAAGGTCAGGCAACCTGCAGCTGGGGGATACATTTAAAAGACTAAAGGAGAATCATAAAGACCCTTGATTTTTTTATTTTTTTTTTTAACAGGGACACGAAGGTAAAGTGATCTTACATCGTCGCTGGCTTTGCTGTATAACCCGGGGTGCAATTCTGTCAAGCTTCACAGGACTCCAGCACCTTGTGATGCACATCTAAAGGATTTAGTTGCATTTCCAAAGCTGGAGCAGAGACCCAGCTGGGGAAAAAAAAACAGCTGAGCTCCCCCAGAGCAGCTGAAACCAGCAAGATCTGGCAAGGTAGGTCTGTTTATTTGTTCCTTTTGAGCACTGTAATATTGTGTCCCCTCCTCCTACTCCCTCCTCTCCCTACATTTGTGCATCTTCCTTTGTTAAACTCAGCCAGCGTTCCCTATTGAAGGAGTTTAACCGCCCCCTTCCCACTGTTTCACACATCCCTCATTCAGCCAGCCACAGCTTGCCAGCCCCGGGTGCTGCCTGTGCCCCTCAACATCTCCCTCATTCCTGAAGAGAGCAGCCCTGGAGCATCAGCTGCTCGCCAGCAGCTACCTTATTCACTATTTAAATAGCCCTGCAGAGAGAAAACTTTTTTCCCCACCCGCTTCCCTGGCGTGAACAAGTACTAATTGCTCAGACGGGCAACGCACAGGCAGAGCCACCATGTTGATACGATCGCCAAGGCGGGTAACGTCAGCATCCCACAGACCCTCCTCCAACTCGGATTTGAGAGAAGAGGCTCAACAGTGCTGAGCAGGAGGTGCCGGAGGAGCAGCCGCTCGCCAGGTAAGGGGCACTTCGTCCCTCCATCCCCAGCGCTGCTGGTCCTGCTCGCTTGATTGACACGCGACAACGGAACGCAAGCGGAGTGGGGCACTTCGCTTGCGCGGAGCCTGGGGACCAGTTGCCAAGACTTTGATCTTCAACCGGGGAGGGGGTCGGTTGTTTGTTCACTCCCCTGCGGAGGAATTCTTGGAAGTATGGCTCAGGCGATAGCGATGGATGTAGCAACAGATGTAAACAGATGGGGTAATCCTTGCTTTGACTCTGAAGTGGATTTGCTTTCAGGGTATTTCTCTCTTCCCCCCTGAATAATCTTCCCTGAATAATCCTGAACTTTTCAGATTTACAGGTTTGGCTGTCCATCTGTGCCAAGTTTGATGTGCTGCCACAGTTGTTTGTGACGGAGATGGTCTTCATATTGAATAAGATCATAACCTAACCTTGCTTACTTTAATTGTGGTTTAAACCCCTTTAAACCTCAGTTTTGAAAATACTCCTTGAACTCTATTCCCCCGCCCTTCTTTCTTTTACTAGGGGACCCTGGGAACGGGGATTAGCAGTGTCAGAAACTTCTTCATTATTTGTGACATCTCGGTCCATGCAGAGAGTCTGAACTCCGACACAAAGACTGGCACTAATGAGACACTGCAACGCGTCTGCTCCAGCGTGGAAAAGCAAGTGCTGCGCAAGGGAAACGGCAGCCACCCCTCAAGTCCTTCGAGTGCTGTGAGGAGCTGACCAGGCACAAAGCTTCCTCTCTGCCCTCCCTGTTCCTGCCGGCTCTGAGGACACTTGCTGCAGACAGTTGAACTGGAGCCACTTGACTTCCCCAGCAGAGAAAAGCCAAAGCTCGCCAGGATGCTCTCAGAGAGAAGAGTTCCTTGACTTACACAGGGAGTTATAATTCTCTTGTTTGGTTTGTTTATTGAGCCTTATATGTCTGTCTCTTTTTCCCCCCCAATCACTCCAGAATCTAACTTCTCCAATGGTGGGGGACAGGAGAGGTAAGTTAGATGGTCCATGCTGCCTCACAACCCACTCTTTGGAAATAACCCAGTCCTAAATGAGATAGCAGTTGCTTCTCACAGGAAAAAAAAAAAAAAAAAAAAGCTCTCCCTTCTGGGCTAGCAAGGCTTTCAATGACATCTGAGAGCAGTTTGTGACCAGCAGGCATGGGAAACAGCTCTCTTTGGGATGATCTGAACAGCACCTGCAGCAACACGGGCAACAGCTGCTACCTGGACAACAGCTTGAGGTTCAACTTTACCTTCCAAGAGCAGGCAGCCGATTTCTACGTCGTCCTCCCCGTGATTTACTCGGTCATCTGTGCCGTTGGGCTCACGGGCAACACCGCTGTCATCTATGTGATCCTCAAGGCCCCCAAGATGAAGACTGTGACAAACATGTTCATCCTGAACCTTGCTATAGCTGACGACTTGTTCACACTTGTCTTGCCCATTAATATTGCTGAGCACCTCCTCCACTACTGGCCCTTTGGAGAAGTCCTCTGCAAAGTCATCTTGTCCATAGACCACTACAATATCTTCTCCAGCATTTATTTCCTAACAGTGATGAGCATAGACAGGTATCTGGTAGTACTGGCCACAGTCAGGTCCAAGAGGATGCCACATCGTACATACCGAGCAGCCAGGATTGTCAGTTTGTGCATCTGGATCCTAGTCACCATCATAGTTCTCCCTTTCATCATCTTTGCCAACGTCTACATAGATGACCTGGAGATCAAGAGCTGTGGCCTCAATTTCCCCAAGCCTGAGAGATTTTGGTTCAAAGCCAGCAGGATCTATACCCTCATCCTTGGCTTTGCCATTCCCGTATCCACCATCTGCATCCTCTACACCATGATGCTCTGCAAACTAAGGAACATGCACTTGAACTCTAATGCTAAAGCCCTGGACAAAGCCAAGAAGAAAGTCACTATCATGGTCTTCATAGTCCTGGCTGTGTGTCTCTTCTGTTGGACCCCCTTCCACTTGGCCACCATCGTGGCTTTGACCACTGACTTGCCCCAGACCTCCGTGGTCATTGGTATATCCTACTTCATCACCAGCCTCAGTTATGCCAATTCATGCTTGAATCCTTTCCTGTACGCTTTCCTGGATGACAGCTTTCGGAAAAGTTTCCGGAAGATGTTGGAATGCAGAACTTCTTGAACAGCGGGTTGGGGCTCACAGATCCCTCCCCTCCCACAGCTTTGCAGGGGCAACTTTGCCAACTGAAGGGGTGGCTAACGAATGAGCAATGGGGGTTTTTTTCTTTCATTTACATGTAACGTATGTGTGTGTTCATCTTCATAAATATGGTTTGTCCGGCTTACCTGCAGCTCTCGCATTTTCCCCTCCCAACTTCTCAAAGTTGCTTTTCTATATTATTTTTTAATTACACACTCTGAAGCGTTAAGGACTGAAAACTTCCTTTTCAGAGGTGTTGCTGCTGCGCAGTGGTCCTTTATTGCCATCTGCTGTACAGCACAGACAAGCTGGAGACCGGTTTCCAGATTACTGTAATGCTCAGCTCTAATAGCTGTGTTATTTAGAGGATTGTTTCATGGAGCAGAGCTAACGAGCACTTCCCATGAAATATTAATAAAATGGACAGAGGATGCAAGATATTTGGAATATCTGAAAGAGAAAACAAACCACTTCTATGTCCATGTATGTGCACATGTGTGCTATGGCTCTGTTTGATTTTGAGGGATGACTATTTTCCACCCCCCACCCCAAATCCCCTCTTTCCTGAGCTGCTCACACAAGTTAAACCAAAAAGAAAGATTTGGGTCTCAAAAAGAGACCGTACAAATCCTATGGCAACCTTGGGAATTTGTGTTAGAAATTATTTTGAAGTAATTGTTCCTGTTAAAGTGTCAAATATATATTTATTTATAAAAAGAGTGATTAGTGAAATAAACCTCATGGGGTTAAAAAAAAAAAAAAAAAAGACTGGTCCTTCTTTCACCAGGGACAACTACTTGTCCCATGTCTTTGCTATATATATTGCATTTTACCTGGTATAAAATATAACGCTGTAGATTTGTTACAAAATGAAGGTGTTTTGGAAGGCACAAGAAAAACCTCTAGCAAGCACAGTAGATAAAGTTCCTTCTTTAACAGGTAAATAGTACAAGTACTTCAACAGCACCAGGACTTGAGAGGAAGAGTCTGGAGATCAGAAACACCGAAACCATGTGGAAATCCCAACCTCCTTCTCCCAACAAGGGAGCCTCTCTCTCCCTCCCTGACAGGCAGCGGGATGAGCACACCACACACTCCACCACCCACCTGCCAAGTGACCACGGCTTGTTGCCCTGGTGGGTCCTTAACAGAGATGTACCACAGCCAGGATAACACGAGTGCCACAGCTCTGTTATTTTGGCTCCACATTAACCACCAAAGCACTTTGGTAGAAGCGAGTAGACTTTTTTTAGCCAGAGCGATGCCAAAGACTAACTCCCCTCATCACCTCTGCAAAAACCAAACTGCCCCCAGCCCTTGTCCTAGAGGGGGATGCCTGGCTGAGTGCTGCAGTAAGCGGGAGGTCTGTAAAAAGCTTATTCTCACACCTTTTAACCCCATAGGGTATACATATTACTGACTTAAAGAAAGCTGTCTCAGCTAAAATTTTTCTCTCCAGCTTTCCCCAGATCCACAAGCACCAAGCTGTGCTCTTACCCATCCAAACTCCACCAGGAAAACCACAGGACAGGTAAAACAAAAGAAGATGTGGCTAGAGACAGGACTAAACACCAGCTATATTGTACATACCAAAGGCCATTCAGGGGACAAGCTACCTACAGCAGCCCTCCACGGTCTATCCAGAAAATGAGGCTGCACCAGGAGCCCGAGGTCCATCCAGGAGACAGGGCTAGAACCAGGGCTAGAACCAGATCTGAGCTTAAATGAGCTCCCGGAGCAATGGGCAAAGGGTGGGTGGAGACCCCAGCTGAGGCCACTCAGGGCAATTCAGTCCTATCAGTGCCCTCAGATCCCCAACACCAGAACTGACAACCTTCAACACCTCAGGATGGCAATTCCATTTTTCCCTTGTAGAAAACCGAGAGAGATTTGTGAACACAAGATCATTTGTGTTGCCTTCGCCATATTAAAGGTGTTAACTCTGGAAGGACAATGAAGGAGAACACATTCTTCCAGGTGAAACTTCTCCAGGAATTGTTGTTGGTTTGTTGTGGGTTTTTTTTTATACCAACTGCAACGTTAATTTGCTGTAAAAAATCAAGACGTGAATCCCCGGTCTCAGCCGCCCTCATGAAGAACAGACCACAGAGGCGGGTCCTTAAGCCCACAGTCTTAAACCCTCAGACTTAGTGCCCACAGGGTTCCCTGAGCCAAGTTTCCTGGTTTGTCTCTATTTCTCATTACCTGCACCTTGCAACTATCAGCAAACACAAGGATTTTTCAAAACCCGGCCCTGACAGTGTGTGTGCGTGTGTGTGTGTGCAGGTGTGTGTGTGTGCAGGTGTGTGGGGTGATGCTTAGCAAACCCCAGTCACAAGAGGAGACTGGGAGGGATGTGCAGAAGAGATCAGAAGAACTTAGAAGGTGCTGGTGGCCCTCAAGAGGTATCAAATGACTCAAAAGGATTTGGAGGAGGAAAACCTGACAGATGGAGGGCTGGGGACCGTAAGGGTGGCTGATTCTGGAATAAAAGCTGGGTGCTGCGGTCCTGACAGACCATCGCGGGGAAGGAGGCGGGTGCCAGCAGCAGGTGGGGTGGGGGGGGTGCAGAGGTGCTGTGTGACCCCTCGGAGCTGCCCAGGCAGGGCCAGGGAGCAGAGCCAGCCTTGCCGGTGAGCGGTCACGGGCACCCACTGCTTTAGCACGGTTGCCACCTGCTGGCAACGGGCTCCTCAGGTGGGGAAAACCTCTCGGAGAGCAGAAAGCTGGATGAGATGATGCCACCTCACACACAAATAGCCTACTTAGCCCCAACACCACTGCCCATTGGCACTGGGTCTCTAGCAAAGGCATTCTATATTTCATTGGGTGCAAAAGCTATTTCATTAGATGGAAAGAACCTTTCAAATTGAAGTCACCCACTTTCACGCCTGACAGTGTCCTTGCTGGAGCTTTTCCTGTTTAAATCAAATGTCGCAGCTGTCACAGAATCGGAGTGGCTGAGGTTGCAGAACACCCAGACTGACCCCCCTGCTAAAGCAAGCTCACCTCCAGCTGGTCACAGAATTACAGAATCATCTCGGTTGGAAAGGACCTTGAAGACCATCTCGTCCCACCATTAACCTCACACCGACAGTTCCCAGCTAGAGCATGTCCTTAAGCAACCTTTAGCCATGTCCACATGGCTCTGGATGTCCCCAAGGATGGAGGTGCCACGGCTTCTTTGGGCAGCGTGTTCCAGTACCTCACCACTCTCACAGTAAAAGTTTTTTCCCATGTTTAAATGGAATCTTCCATATTTCAGCTTGTGCCTCCTGCCCTGCCACTGGACACCACTGAGACGGCTCCCTCTTCTCTGCAACCCTCACCAGGCATTTACAGACGTTACTCAGACCCCCCCCGAGCCTTCCCTCCCTGCGGATGAGCAGCCCCATCTCTCAGCATCTCCTCTCACATCAGCGTCCTGCCTCCATCTGTGCTTTTCTCTATGTAAAACGCTCAAGACAGGAGTATCAGCTCTTTGCTCTTACAGGGTGCAAGGTTACGAGGGGAGAAGGGGTTTGCACTGGCCAAGGTCTCCTCCTGGGCCTCGGAGGGGCTCTGGCTCCCATCGGCGCCCTGAGCTGGCCGGTGTGCCGGCCGGTGGAGCGTCCGGCGGGTCCCTGTGTTTCAGCTCGGCAGCACTAAGCGGCACTCTCTGCTTTCAGCTCAGCATCGCTGCATCTCCCACAGAGCTGCTCAGCCTCACACGAAGGCTGGGACTGTGCTTCTGCAGGGAAACCCGCAAACTCGGGCTCCCCATGCCCGGGCAGAGCCTCTGGGCACGGCACCCGAGGCCAGGCAGCTGCGGCTGTTTGGGGGAGAGCAGAAACCATCGCCGAGGAGGCACTTGCCCACTCGTTGCACAAGTTTACCCCCAGGGAAAACCCACACGCCAGCTCAGTCGTTTGAATTTCATCAGGCTGCTGGGGCTGGCTTGTTGCGGATTACACTAGCCCACATTAGCCACATCTTGAAGACTGGAATCAGGGAAATAAATCCTCTTAACAATGCACCAAATAAATCCCCTTCTAAACCAAGCCTCCCTTTCAGGGTCTGCAGGGTGGCAGGAGGCTGAAGCCGGGACCCACACAGCTCCCTGCTGTCCTAACCCCCTTCCCAGCCGGCCATGCATCAAGTAGGGAAATCAGCTCGGCCCCAGAGTTGGGGAAATTTCCTTCCAGGACAGTCCGGGATGTCTTAATGAGGGCAAAGGTGCCAGGTAATCTCACCACTCCCTGGTTACAGCAGGAGCTGAAGGATCTCCACTTGCTCCTGCCCACTGGAGCAGCACAGAGGAAGGCAGCAGGGTCCTGCCTGTCTCCTCTCCAGGAGCGACATCGCCATCCCAGCTCCGGCTGCACCCACAAGGACAGACAGCCCTGAAGGATTCTGCCTCATCATCCTTGGGAGAGGCATAAAGAAGCCATTTTCCACCCCAGAAACAGGAATTAGGGCTCATACAGGGCTCATATTCCCACCGCAGGCTTTAAACACAGGCATCCGAGATAAGAGGAGAGGATCGGAAATTACTATTCCTTTTTAAGTCTTTGTGCTGCAGAAAGTAATAATGGCTGTTTCAATCAATTGTCCTCATCCGAGCTGTGCTGCAGCTTGTTCCCCTGCGAAGCCATAATCCCCCAGTAGTTATGCAGTCTCACGCTGTCTCCTACTGCTTGGTCATGATTTCAGGTGAGAAAAGAAAGAGTACCCCAGTAAGGGATGAAGGCCTGGCTCTCAGAAGCATCTTTAGATGGGAAAAAAAAAAAAAAAAAAAAAAAAAAAGAGAGATTAAAAATGGATGAGGAATATAGAAGATTTGGAATATGGGAGATATGAAGCAGAAGGATCTCTAGAGGATACTGTTAAAGCGATCCAAGAGAGAGAATTTGTCCCTTTTCTGTACAGCCTGACTTATCTGTGGCACTCACCTTGTCGCCTATGGGGTGCTGGGAGCCTCTGGGTGTCCTCGCAATTAGGGACGATCAGTCCTGACGTGCCACTGATGCTCCCACTGCAAACCCAAGGAAACGGTGACCCTCTGGCTTTAGTGCTAGTTCTGGGAGAAACGAGCCCAGTTTGGTGCCTTCAGAGGGTCTCAGCACCTCAAGGTTTGACATTTCCCACCCAGACGGTTTTGGGGTGATACA